ATAAATATTATATACTATTTAATAAAAATATTTTGAAAACAAAAATATGTTTGACACCAAGATATATAAAGATCCGTCTAACATAGAAAGCTGTAGAAACGCAAATTTAATAATAAATTATTTTATATTCCTAAAATAAAAGTGATTAGAAAATGTTTAAGATCTATGTATACATTGTCTATATGTGTCACTTTACCTAACCTTTATATAAACGTGTTTTGTGATAGTATAATATACAATATATAATATCATAGCATTTTTAATTCCTTGATGTTAGATGTATGTATGTATGTAAAATATTTATTTCCTAATCCTAATACATACTGAAATGATGGTATTAGTCATAAGGGACTAAATTTTTGTATTACAGTACTTACTCTACTATATAATAGATAAGTATCCTTAAGTCTGGAATAAAGTAAGGACAGGGTATGTCCTGGCTCGAATATTTTTCTATAAAATATTTTTTAATAGGCACATTCAATTTAAATTTAAAAAAATGTTAAAAGGTGTCATGAAAATTACTAAATGAGTAAAAGTGGTAATGGTGAAAAATGTAATTTAATATGGTACAACTGGTACAAGGTATTATTAAGTACTTACATAATTCTTGAATGATATTAATAATTAATATCTTTAACGTATTCAGTTATTACTGATGGATATTAGAAATTTTTGAACAATATTTATTTACTCGAGTTTCATTTTTTTATTTTTGTCAGTAATTTTTTTTTTAATATTTAATACATCTAAAAGTAAATTTTATTATGAAATATTTTACATTGTAAATGGTTTATACACATTTATATTAGGTACTTTATAGTATTCATCAAGAATGAGCTTCTCTCATATAGTCAAATCGCATTAATCTATCAGATGTATTAGCAATGCGTAAACTTTCTTCAGAAAACCTTATTTTCATACTGCAAATAATTAAGTTCATGATGGCAAAAAACATTTATTTTCCAGTAGGTATTCTTTTTGATTCAAATTGTCGTCACTTAAACAACTTTTAGTCTGTTCTGCTGCAGTTGAAACTGTTATGTATATTGTATATCATATTCACTTAAGTAATAGTTCTTGTCTAAGTTTCTTTAGTACAATTGATGTAATAAAATTGTACTTAAACTTATGTATATTTTCTATTGCAAATAAAAATAAAATAAATTAAAAATAAGAACTGTTAAATTTTACAAGGTTTATTAATACTTTAGAAAACAATTTTTTTTTTTTGAGAAGGAGAGAGAGCTGAGTCGTTGCATTATATAATATGTACAATGTACATAGGTAATACTATACTCGATAATGTGAACCTTGAACCCAATTTTTTAATTTTGTATTTTAAAGAGAGGATAGCACAGAGATTTGTACTGGCTCATAAAATACGAATATTTATTTATTACTATTGATTACAGAAAATAAAATAATTATTATAATTATTGTATATTATTTAAGACTCGTATTTTATATTTGGTTAAAATAACCTAAATAAATGTGTAAACAGTCTATGCACTTTAAATGTAGTTTTAAATCTGATTAATCATTATTTATTCATTTTATGTCTTTAAATGGTAAGAAATTAAGAAATTACTTATTACGGTACAAAACCAGGGAAGTTACTCTACTATGTTGAATGTTATGAGTGAGATAAATCATTGCATATTTACATACGAAAATCGATTTTAAACTGCCAGAATCTGCAGTGGCGTAGTCAAAGGAAAACCATGAAGAACCTACTATTGGCTGTATATTATGTATAAGAAAAGTATAAATCATTTTTTTTTGTCTGAAATTTTGATTTAGAATTTTATTTTCGTATAATGAAATTTTATCAGTATTATATGATATCAATATCAATAATTAACAAACGCCATTATGACGACAATCTATTTTTAATACTGCTTTTATTTATGAAAATGATTTATTCGTTAATATATCATGTTTAAAAACAGAATTATTTATTTGAAAAAAGCAGTGAGATTGTGAGAATCATAAAAAAATCTTTCAGAGTATGCTGTTGAAGCATTTCAACGTTGTTCAGAACTTTTGCCAAACATAATTAACTTCTATTATTGTCTAGTACAATACTTGTCAGCCATTGCTGTCTTAGAGCAACTTACTACCTACATATTTACGGGCAACTATAACTGAGGTGCAAGATTAAATGGATTTACTCTAATTAATATATAAACAAAGTTTATTTAGACAATGAAGATATTAAAAATATATTTTATTAACTTTTATGAAATAACCATCGAGAAGAATGCAAACTTTGAACTGGACAAAGTAAAATGAAATTTGTTTAACATAACGTATAACATAAAAAACGTTATAGGTACTTGTAAAATTTAAAAGTGTTTGACTATTAAACTTAATTACAAGATACAAAGGTCAGAGAATAAAATTTATTTTATTATTTTTCTTCAGTCAGCTATGTGCCATTTTTTTCTTTATTTTATGAGTTCTATTCAAATTTATTCATTTTACAATTATGGTTTTAATTTGAGAAACTTGATTGTACTTAAGATTTTTATTTTTGCCTCCCTTCTTCAAAAATCCTGGCTATGCTACTAGCAATTTTTTAGCATATTTTACTAAGATTACTGTATTATATATTCTTAATATATTTATATTAAAAAAATTAATCTACAACAAAACATAAAATTGAAATTATGCCAAAAAATAGTTTGTAATAAAAATCCGTTTTTTAATTAATTATTTTTTAGCAGTAATACTCAAAAAACAACCAAGAATATAGATGGTCTGTCAGTGTAGGTATTAGGTATACATATTACTAAGTGTAATTTATTGTAATGTAATAATAAAATGTATTTATATCATAAATTATTGTTATTGATTTTTGAAATAATATAAAATTATCTTTTACCCCGTAGAACGGTGTGAATAAAATCATGGTATACATAGTCAAAAGTTTCAATTTACTAAAATATTTTTGAATTACAACAAAATAACTAAAACCGTTATTTTTCGTTCAAATATTCAATTTCATTTAAATGGAAGATTAAGATATCTTTTAAAAAAAATGTGTATAAATATTTTTTAGATTTTTAGGTTTTTGTATAAGAACTATAACTTATGACCAATGAACAGCTTTGTATTACTTAGGTATTTAAAATGTATTGTGTATTGAAAATGATAATTTAAGTAATAGTGAATGTTTCAAATTTCTACAGTTAATAATTTTTAGAAAATAAAAAAAAAAATATTTTCGAAATTATACTTTATGGTTATTCATATTACAACATATATATACTGTCTAAAAATGGTTTTGTGTAAAATTTCAGTTTTTCCTTATTATTAAAAAAAGTTTTTTAACTTTTGAAATTGGGTGAAGAAGTGCCAGTTAGATCTGATTTGCTAAACCAGAAAAGATTGAGATTAGATATTAACGCATTGTTTCTGCACCATGAGGCAATGAAATAATAAACATAGAAAAAACATTTGTCATAGACATTTAACATTTTTTAATTTAACTAGTTCAATTTTTATTATAACTTATAATGTAATATTACTATATTGAATAATATACTCAATTGATCTAAAAACTACAGACATATTTTTTTGCAGTATCTAGTACAGATATACTGTCATAATATCTACCTATAATCTATGTAGGACTATCAACTAAAAATATCAATTATCAATATTAATACTTATTCAAGTAATTTTTATATTGACTACCAATTCAATTCAATTATATTTAACAATGGTTAATACATTTTTTACTGTTAATTATATTATTGATAATTTAAAATTAATGTATAAGTAGCTAATAAAAATATTTTTATTTAAAAAAGTTAATAATTTTTCACTTTATTGGCTTTAAATTTAAAAATTATCTATTTAAATGAAAAAAAAATCCCTTAATATTGAAATTAAATCTCTTAACAATTCATATTTTTTAAATGTACCTATATAATTTTAATATTTGATTTTTGTATTAAATATATAAAAAATTATTGAAATAACCAAAATTTCTTAAACCGTTTACCTATTAACTATAGTCTATAGGTTTATAATGTAAACGCTTATTATAATACAGATAACAATATATTGTTATGTTTAATTATTCACGGAAATAAAAGAAATCATCTTTACAATATTACGAGAAAAATATCTTTTTTTAGGTTTATCACTACCTATTTTTTCTATAATAATAACATGTACCAATAGAATAGAAGGAATCATAGATATTATTAATAGTACTTGTAAAATTAAAAATTGTCTATACCTACATGATTAATCATATACCTATTTATATTGTAAAAATAACTAAAATAACAATGATATTCATTATTTTGTTATAATTTAAAAACATTATTCGTGGGGACATAAAACTTTTACGTATATTATTATATTTTATACACAATAAAATTTTCAATTCAAATAATTTCAACCTATTGTATTATTAATAGTAAAATAAATAACTTTTAATAACAATATCACAAAACATTTAATTAAATATACTTTGTGACACAGGCTGATAAACCGTTTCAGCTCAAAATCTATTTTCGTATGTATTCAAATTTCACACATCAATAATTATAATAGAGCTATTTCCTTTTTTTCCAATCAAAATAAATAAAAAATAAAAGAGCAAAAATATGAACATAAAAACTTTTGTTTATTTCAAAATATTAAAATTAATCAGATACATGAAACTTTTTAGTATGTGTTAACTTAACACTGACGAAATTTCCAAATTTTTTGCTAGAACTATATAATAATTTTAATTAACGACTAGGTATACGAAGTTTGAAGATCATAAAAATCCCATAAAACCGTAACACCTGTAGAGTAATAATAAAATAAATATTTTATTGAACACTAAATAAAAAGTTATACCTAAGTCTAATACATACAAATATAAATATTGTTTATTACATTATTAAAGTAGGTATAATACCACTTAGAATAAGAAACGTGTATGCCAAATACATTTTTAATAACACAAAATAAGAACATAAAAAAATATGAATATGACACGTGAGAATTGTCTATATGCAAGTTATAGAAGCAATAATATGCTTATCGCGCAGGTGCATTTTAGTGAATCGATTTTCACCTAGAAATTACAAGCGCAAAAACATTTTGATAGGTTAATTACTCATATAAGGAGTATAAATTGTACTTCAAATGTATTGCATTCCATCATTCGTGTTCGGACAACCTCCATCGTTACGTGAAAAATATCTAATTTATACGTTTTCCCATTTAGACGACGTCTAATATTTTGAAATTTCTTGACGTATTTCAGAGACATATTATAATAACGTAATGCATATTATTTCAATGTTTTCGATTTTAATATTTTATTTTTATTTGTGCCATCGATGTTATTCGGGTAAGATTATACTCAAACATCTTTTTTCGATAATTATAAATATTTATAAATTGTACATAGGTATAATGATAATTTGAAATACATTTTTTACATACAATATTCTATTTTTATTTCGATAGCAGAGGATGATCATCATCATGCCAATGGTAGTGAAATTCATACAGCCAAGAATAATTGGCTGTCAGAAGATCATATGTTGCTGAATGGTACATAGTTTTATTTTATTTATTTCAATCGTCCTTAGTTTTCCTGCCTATTGATTTTATTTTGACATTCTAATGTATGTTATTAATTCGTAGTAGTTCTCACATGATTGGTCTAAATCAAAAGAGCTTTTGTTTTCAGAATCTTTTAAGAGCCTTAGTGAATTGGAAAATCTCCATCACTACATGAACACATTCGGCGGGGATGTATGTCATAGCTGGAATAAGGAAGCAAAATCGCAGCTACTGATCCTGGTAGATTCGTTCACCAAGCATGAGCTCCTGAGACAGGTAGCTCGAGTCACATGGCTTCGAAACTTCCACGGGAGTCAGAATAAAGTACGTGTAGTGTTTTTCGTGGGAAAACCGCATAGTTTGAGTATCGCCGAACGCCTATTAATGGAGAACCGCAAATACGGCGACATTGTTTGGACGCACGTGCCAGAAACGTCTAATTATCACAGGTCAATGAAAATGGTATCAGGGCTGGATTGGGTGCTCAACAAATGCAAGAACGCCGAATTTGTGTTGAAAGTCGACGATCAATCAATTGTCAACATGCCAGCCATCCTAAAGTTCATTGGCCAAAATCATAATTCGAAAAACTCCATATGGGGATTTAAACACAGCATTAAGCCGTAAGTGCACAATATTAATTATTTTTCGTTATTGCTGAGACTGCAGCAAATGAATTGTATGTAATTTAATTGACGGGATAATGATAGGCCATACCATAAACGTCATATAGGAAAAAGTAGTTGCCCCATTGACATTTTATACTAGGTGAGTAGATATCTTGTTTTAAACTTTAATTTGTTATACAATACAACACATTTTTTTATATATAGCATTAAAAAAACATTACTTACGTACTTGAAATTTGAATATTATTTATGTGTTTTATATGATTCTTAATTAGTAAATAATTAGCCATGGAAATATGATATTGAATTACTTCGCTTACTTAGAGTTGATCATATTATATAATATATACTATAAACTTCAAACTTGGGTACTTGGGAATTTGTTTGTTCCTCACCATTGAAACTGCATAGTAGGTGGTACTAACATTTTCATACTAATATAACATAGTATTAAGGTGTTTTACTTTAATTTGTATAAAATATAATATTTAATCGAGATTTGACTTCAATGATAATATTTTAATAGTCAATACTTTGCTAAATAATTCAACATTTTCATAATTCCATCACGTTATATCATAAATTCTCGATTATTTGGTTGATTTTTATGTTGGTAGATAAATCTAGTAAATACATCACACATACTTTGGCGTTAAGATTTATTACTTTAAATAAAGTATTTTCAAACTTTAAATAATAATAGAGAATATTATATTGTATTTTTTTGATAGGATAAAAACCAATGCGAAGTATATCAACTATACTTGTGAACATGCATATCTGATGACAAATGATGCAGTCAAAAAACTTTATTCCGGTGCCTTAGAAAAGATTCCCTATTTGAGCGATGAAAACCAATTCCTTACTGGTAATTATTAACTCCTACTACTATACTTATTACTAGTTCATATATAAGTATACAATACGTAAATGTATGTATTATCATCGTGATTATGATTATATGGACCATTATGGTTTTATTTGTTTATAGGAATTGTAGCAGCTAACCAAGGCGTCAATGTAATACATGATAAACATTTCAGAGCAGTGACATTATCATCAACTCTACCAAATAACAGCACTGCGGTTGAACGATGTGATTATGCGCAAAACCACTTCATATTCATGAAACCCGAGAATAAAGATGAGTGGTCAGATATAGTGTCGTCATTTAAGATCTGTAGATCTATTTTACCTAAAAATTCAATGCATCATAAATCAGTTTAAAAAATTTAAGTTGTTATAACCCGTAATAAGACATGTTAGGTAGTTTATAGTATTATTATTTTAAAATATACAAATATTTAAAAAGCATAATTTTTTTGTATATTGTTATAGCTTTTATTTTTTAATATTCTATTCAAAAATAGTTTTATTTTTTAAAATTACGGTCCTGGGTAAAACAAAAATGATCAAACTATAGATATTTTTATAAAATCGGTAAAACGCTTTCGAAGTTAAAAACCGGGGAACTCGCTCTACTCTACAGTAAGTGTTGAGTGTACTTCGTCATTTAATAGATAACTGCAATGGATATATTCATTTTGAATTCAATGAGATATCATTAAATAGGTACCTATACGAAAAATTATTCTGAGCAGAAACAGTTTTGTCAGCCTGCAGTATTATAAAGTTTATATAGTTTTTTAACATAAAATTTCATAACTAAATTTTATTTTGATTTTTTCAAAAACTAATATTGCATGAAAATGTATGCTTCATCACAATATTTTTTTCCTATTATTTCGATAAATACGAGAAATTGTTCGCATTAATATTTAGGACGTTATAATAATGTGTTTAACATGATATTTTGTTTATCACAAGACTAATAATTAGGTAATATACGGGATTCACCAAATGCGTTTAATTAGTCTGTAACTAAGATGAAAAAAATCAATTTATTCTTAATTAATTAGGTACAAATATTCAATTCTTAATTCATAACAATTCTTACTTGAATAATGTTGAATTAATATTTTATAACTGTACGTTATACCTGAATATTTTTATTTTCCATAATTTAAATAACAAAATAATAATAAAATATTATAAACAATTATAAACTATTTAAATAAAAATAAAAACTACAATCTCAAATTGCGATAATAATCACAAATTATATAATATATAAAACATTAAATACTAATACAAAATATTTTATCATACATGAATAATATGTCAAAAACACTCCTAATATAAATTCATAGTTTTATATGTTAATAATAACTAATAATTATTACCTACTAATTGTATAATATATATAGATATATAATTTAATAATTAAATAGTAATATCATATATTTACTTCATTTAACTACATTGTTCACAACTCTTATACTAATATACAAATTTTATCACATTATTATAAAATATTAATTTACAATGAATTTCACACCATTTAATTTTTATTATTGCACTCGTTGTAAAAAATGCTTATAGGTTCCACTGTATTTTTTAAGTGTGTGAAAATATATTATTATACCGTAACAAAACAATTATATTATAATTTAATACTAAACGACGGGTCTAAAAAGTACCAACTATCTTTTACAATTGTACCGACTAAACAAATACTATTGTTTGTAGAAATTTTTAAAGGATTAATTATAGTTACCTTTATTATATTATCCAACTAACAACTTGTATGATAATGAATTAAAAAATAGAGAACCTATTCACTTGTTTCATTAACTAAGGCACAATCTGATCAGCACTATGTAACATTCTACATAGTGGGTGAATGTGAATCATAATGATTATATTGTTTATCAATTAACAATGTATTACTATTTAATATTTAATATTATTACAACTTGTACTAAATAATATAGGTATAAACTCAATATAGTATTACTATAGGTAAATAGTTGAATAGGATAATGTGATTAGTGTGTATAAATACTTAATATAGGTATATTATGCCTATAACATAATATTATATATATATATTATGAGCAACATTTATTATTCAGGTTATGGTTTTGATTATTATTAAGTATGTATAGGAATATAAATTATATTTGGAACTTACTAATCACTACAAACGTACAATATAAGTACTAAAATAAAAAATAGTAATATTAATCTAAAGGACCAATCAAAAATACTTTATACGCACACTGTGCCTGGACACTTACAGTCAATAGACAATCTAATGGTTCATGATTTGTGAAATGGTAAGCGATAAAGTAGACAACCTAATGTGATTTATAAGGACTATGCTGTTGTCAAGGAACGAAAGCTTAAAACTATACGCTTATACGGTTTAAATATAAAAACGAAGAGTTTAGAAGCAGTGATGTAGTCGTAATTGTTTACCCTCTTAATATACTACATTTTTATTATTTTTATATTTATAATTATATAAATACATTATGTCACTATGTTACTACCATGCTGCAATCGAGTCTCCACAGTCTACAATCATACTCATAGAAATATATTATACATTTAAATTTTTTATGATTACTTAGATAATATGTAATTAAGTAATATTAATTTTTAAGTAGTTATAATCAAATAGGATTTTTAAATTTTAATTATACATATTATCAGTTAATAAAAACAAAAATAGAATTAGAGGAAAATATTAAAATACGAAATAAAATATATCTCATACTTTTTGAAATCACTATAAGTATGTTGAGCTACTGTTAAATTTGGTATCTATTTAGGAAACTAATATGCTTAGCTTATAAAATAATAAGCAAATAAAAATTAAAAAGCATATAAACAAATAATTAAATCATAAGATTTTCCACAAACTAGCTTTTTCTTCATTTAATTTTATCCGTGCAACTTTTCGAGATCTGTTAATATCTTATCGATTACTTAATATAATACGTTTTTCCATAATGTACCTATCAAAATGACTTTATGATCAGTATACTTACGCTGTACAATAGATATTAATGTCTAATTAGTAATTACAGTGTTGTACTGTCGTATATTATACTAAAAAATACTAGGCTGTAGCCCATAAGTGCGAAAAAAATATCTTTTTAATAAATCATAAGCGCAAATAAATTTTACAAAAATAAAGTATATTTTATAAATTAGATATAAGTTTATAATGTATATATTGTGTAATCATCTTAAATAATTATTAACCTTCACCGTAATTCGTCATGATTATACAAAACTTAAACCTTAAACTGAACTGTCTGAATTCTATCACTGTTAATGAATTTTTGAATTATAAAAATACATATATTTATTTAAAATTAAACTTATAGTATAACAGGTACAATATTTATTTTTGCGCTTTTATCCCACTTCTAAGGTACAAAAGCACAAAATAATAAATTTGTGTTTTTGGTCTATTGAAAAAAATCGACGATTTGCGCTTTTAGGTTTCACCAAAATATTATGAATACCTTAAATATTAGTAACAGTTTTGATTATAGAAACTATCAAATCGATAAAGTTTATTTGACATTTTATTTATTAATTAAAAATTATTTATCAAATTGGTTTATAAAATAAATGCATTCTCATACGTGTATATCCACATTTTATGTGTTATTCTATAAATTCTATAAGTATAAGAACTAACAGAAAAACAGAGAAGTTTACGCACCACTATACTACTGTTCAGAAGTATTCAGTTTAGTGAAGTTGACAAAGATTCAAGAACAAAATTGAACGAAAACAAACAAATTACGGCTATCAATTAATCAAGCTATGTAAAGAAAAAATAATAATGTTTTGATTGTGTATTCTTACGGGTTTCAGCGATGTTGTTTTTCTGGTATTATATTATTTCTATGATAATTGTTCTATGTACTGTATATATATTTTTAACATGCTTAATTAACTAACTGCGATGAGTGTAATAATGATTTACGTGATATACCCAAATTTAAACAGTAAATGAATTGTTTATTGGTTGAAGTATAGTAATTTTAGTTTATATTAATTCATCAATTAAATTATCCGTTAAAATAAAATAACTAGTCATCATGCTCTAAACATATTATAAATTAAGTCAAAAAGAGTTGTGTATAATACCCCAAATTTTTCAGTTCAGATAATATACAACCAAAATATTAGGTACTACCTATTACAACAATACAGTAGGTTGAATTAATAATGTTTGTTGAAAACGTTTAAAATATTGTGCGGAAGTATAAAATATAAAAATACACAAAAGATTTATGTCCCAACGCATATTTTTTTTTGAAATTTAACAATATAGCACATTAATGCATATCGTTATTCATTTTTTAAATACCTATGTAATTTCAACCAAATTTGAACTTAAAATATTTATAAAAAAATATATATAATAGTATAAATAATATTATTTAGATCTTTTGATCTGCATGAACTACATTGTACTAGACTTTCAAATCCTAGCTATAATTGCATGTTTTATAAATTTTAAATTGTAAAATAATTTATAAATTTACCTTATTTTTTTCAAAATATGATTTTCAAATGCTTACAAAAAATAATTGTGCCTATGTATTATTTTACAGATATAAGAACAATTTAAGTGGAATCATGTACTAAACTTTTAATCATTTTGACTTATTATTTACATGGAAACCTGACTTAATGAATAAAATGACCAGGTTCCGAAAAAAAGATATTTAGTCCAATGTATTTCGACCTGTCTATAACGGACACTTTGTATTAATGACACAGACACTAAATTTTTACTGCGGTACTTTCATAATGGACAAAAATCCTACTTATAATCCAAATGTACGTCATGCCATTATTTCCATTTATATGTATAAACTACGAAAAAACGTCAATACGAAACGAAACGCAATTAGGTACATGTGAAAACACGGATTACGACCGATTATATTATCGCCGATTTTGATAACGTTAATGGCGACTGGCGAGTACTTATTGAATTATGAAGTTGAATTACATACATACAATTTAACAAAAATAATTCTAGTTATAAATTGCAATACATATAAATGATAACCATTAATTAATTTAACGTTTTTATTCAGTTTCTATTTCGCAGTCAGAGTTATACTGTTATACATACCTATTTGCTTTTCAATGCCAACTCCCGTATCGTGTAAAGCTTTGAATTTAAAACAATAGGTAGACATTATTCGTTGTAAAGACCCTAGCGGTTTGTCTATTTTGTATTTATTAGACACAATATTAATAAAATATGCGTACAAAATTTTCATTTTTCATTATATATTATGTTTGTAGATTAATTTAATTTTAGAACACTGAAACCTGTCTACAATGGATAATTATTTTGGTCCCGTAACTGGCCGTTATATTTTATAATATATACAGGTTTCACTGTATTTAATTTAAACTTCTATGTGTTATGTATACAACCAAAAATATAAATACCTTCAAAAATAATTTTATGGTTTATAAATTGCTCAGTAAGTCGAAAAAAAAAAAGTAATCAACATAATATGGTGAGAACTCTGCGATTCGATAAAATTATACAATAGAGTCATCTTAAAAAATTGAATTAGCTCTTTGAGTTTGTTGTGTAGATGTTTTTTTTTTTACAATTCAATAGGTACGAACACTATTTTGCTATTGGCCGTCATATAGTAGGTATGCAGTTTACCGTCCGGTTTTTACACAGGCCTAAGTTTATCTTTAATAGATACAGTTTCTTCGGTGAACATTTTATCTTTATGACTTTTGATAACAATACTTCCACAGTTCCACATTTTGTAAAAGTATGAGATCAAACACTCAGTAGGTCACTAATTGAACGACTCTACAATTTATACGCAGTCATACACTCAAAATGTTGTCAAAAGATTTTTATTTAATTATATGTAGAGATCTCAAATGTTTCAATTAGCAAAAATGTTTTGGAGAATAATGAAAATTCCGAATGCTTTAAGTATGGTAATGCTACGTAAGGAGAGGTATAAGGAAAAATGAATTTTACGTTGTAAGAGAAAGGGATGTCAAACAACACAAATCTTAAGGTGAGAAAATTAAGTTTTTGTATTCTTTAAGCTTATTTCATCATAGTTGTGTACAATTATAGGAAAGATAATGACTATATTATGACATAATTTTTAATTAATTTACTTGCGGTAGACCGTATACTATGTGATAGCCCTGCTATATTCTACAACAATGCACGATACGGTTATATTGTACGCAAGACGTATAATATAGTGAATACTACAAATGCGGGAACGTGGAATGGCATGAGACGCGTAATAATAATTAGAAATAATAATATTTATTTTAAAATTGACGAAATTCCTTTCCGCCTTCTGTCACAAATACATGTGATGCATATTTTGTATAGCAGTCTGCTATTCAATATTCTAAAACAATATCGGATTTTCCGGCATCCCGGTTCGATACGACGGTATTGTTCTATTTTCATATTATTATTATTGTGTAACGTCATTGATTAAATATAGACTTATGACTTATGTGTATATTTAATTAATGGTAATATTTTCACTTACAGCTCGCAGGATAACAAAGCTTTAAGTAACAAGTAACAACTATACTGTTATACTGGATCTTAAAAACAAAGAGGTATCTCCCATACGCCACTGGTTATAGATAACATAATTGATAATATTATACGATTTATTATTATTTTATTTTATTTTATGACAAAAATGTAAAGTCAGATTAGACTAATACAGTTTATTATTAAGCAAAATTTAGCTTCTATTTTTTTTATTCGGAAACACTGCGATAGTTGTTAGCGCCGTTAGCGGTGGGCGGCGGCATCGTCATCGTCGGTGGAGGTGATGTATGGCGGTCATTATTTTGGATTTCCTGTCAGACGTGATTTACAATTTACCGACACGATCCTGGTGAGCGAAATATTCGCGTCTGTAGAAAAAAAAATTATTTCACAGTGCTGTCACCTCGTTCTATTCTTATAATTTATTCTATTATTTTCAGCAAAATAAATTTCCGATTGAGTTGTTTATCTCAACGTTCTCATAGTGTCCATTTTGCCGACGGAACATACGTCGTTCGTCCTCCAATACGGCAAACGGTGTAACCCATTGTTGCCAGTCGGTTATCGATCGAAAACGGCGACGTGTTTTGGTCAGTCAAAACTGGTAGTTAGCGGCTCTGTTCCTCATTTATATCTATCCGTATCGTATTCAATCGGCGTTCTTGAAAAACATCATTTTTGCCATCTTGTACTTTACGTTGTTTGTTCCGAAACGGGTTTGCGCCATTCTTCAAGATGACTGAAGAAATTGAAGATATCGTGTAAGTACTTATATTTTTTGGTAATCAACGTCGATCATCCGAAATCGGTGGCGTTATTTTAGTGCTTAAATAATAATTGTTGTACCGACGCCATCGCTCATCGATTGATTTCGTTCTCGAAATGAACACATAGGTCAGTGTTTTTAATGGTAAAAATAATATCTCATTGCTAGATGCTCTAGCTATGTGTAAAATTTGATCAGACAGTACACTGTTAAAAAATTTTGTGTACTTAATGTGATTTCAATCACTTATTGTTAATTTTATATTACTAGGCTTGATGCTATAATAGACGCACTGTCTATTAATGAGTTGCAATGTCTTCAATAGAAATTTTATTAAATTTAGTGATTTAAAAAATATATGAAATATGTTAAATGATTTAATTTTAAATTTATATCCTACTGGTTAAGTTAAGTACCTATATAATTAGTTAAGTAAAAAAAATGTACCATAACAAAAAATACCTATATACCTATCTACTTTGTCAAAATAGCTATTATTATTTTTAATATTAGAATTATTACCTCTTGTACCTATTTATGTTGTATAATTATTTCATTAAGTTATTCATAGTTCTTTAAATTCAGTTAAATTTATTTTTATAAGATATATGGGCTTAACCCTTGAAAACATTCATATTATGTTAATTAATACTCTTGATAGACAATGAAAAAATAATATAAATTTTTATTATATTAAAATTCATAGTTTTGATTAACTTGTTTTCTATTCAATTATTTTATTTTATTTTGTAATATATATATTTATATTGTTATGAACCTCAGCCTTATAATAGACGACACTGACAAGTATTTAAATCACAACAAGTATTGATGAATAATATATCTATGCTAGAAAGACTAAGGTCTATCTTTGTTTTAATTTGTTAATCAAATTTGCAAATCGAAAGTAATTACCTTATCCTAAATATTAATATTAGAGATACTACAATGGTGAATCCATAATCATTATGATTAATGAATGACACATTTCATTTTATATCTATTATAAGTAAAATTCTTATTAGTGCAATACCGTTTCTCTTTGTTTTGCGTTTTTATATTTAATTAAATGAGCTCAATAGTTGGAGTATGTTTTCTGGTGATGGTATCTAGAATAAGTAATTGAATTAACATTATTATTTTTTGTGTTTTCAAAACCAATATTTATTTGAGCATATATCCTAAAAAAAATTACTAAATTCACAGTTAAATTTCACATATTAATACCACAATATTTTAACTGTGATTGTAATTTGTTTTAAATTTTTTTCTTATTATTATTATTATTATTTATTTATTTTTTATTGAACTTGAGCCCGGAGATTAGGGCCATTAGGTGTTGTAGGTAAGATTGGTATTGTAGGTTGTTATAGTTTATAGCAAACATGTTTATGTTTGGTAAGGTTTTTAACCACTATGAACTTGGATGATTACTCATCCAGAAGCTAGTAGCTGTGGCCGTTACTTACTGTCAGTCGGATTCCGTGACTGGTAGCAGCCAACGCACCACACTAAGCCACTTATTTTTATTAATTTTTTTTATTTACTATCTATATTGAGTTAATTAAATTATGATTTAAATTGAATTATAATTTTAGAAAATCATGAAATACTTTATGTATTGGTTTTTTTTTGTTATTTATAGGAGATTTAATGTGGATGAAGAATGTACACAAACTATTCATGGCAACTCTATAAAAGTTTTTTCAAGTCAAGGATCTCATAACAAAGGAAGTTCAAAATTAACACTTAAAAATTTTGTTAATTTTAATTGGGATCAATGTTATTATCGCGGGCAGTTAATTGCCTTGCATATAAGTGAAAAGTACATAGCTTATGGTTTTTCTAATAGTAAGTTATTATCAATTACACTAATTATTTAATTTTTCATAAAAATATTGTTTTATTTGTTATTATTATTATTATAGCTGATACTTTTGAGGGTTTGGTTCGTGTTGTCAAAACAGAAAGTAAAGAAAGAGCATTAATCAAAGGATTTTCAAATTTAATTGAAGATATAAGTTTTGCTCATCTTTATGAAATAATAATGTTGGCCTGTATTGACCAATCTGGTACTACGAATGTTTATGTCATTAAAGAAGAAAATTGTACCTCAAATTTAAGAGTTTTTCCAGTTTTTCAAATCAATGGGGTTCGTATATTTTTTTTTTTTTAGACATTTGAATTACTGCAATACTTAAATATATTTAATTAGTTCATTAAATAATTTATTATGTGCGATAAGATTCATTTAAACCACATATTGATTATAGCAGATGACGTCAAATGGTGTCCATCAACAACATTGAATGTGCTGTACGACACCAATTGGCATTATCTACCTTGTTATTAAACGCACTACAATTTTGTCAGCATTACAATTAAACTATTAGTTTTTTGTTAGTATTACGATCAAACTATTGGTTTTTTGTTAGCATCTTTTTCGAGTATTATTTCGTATAATATATTATTCATACATATACTCATATATATAACATGTGTAAATCATACATAAATATTTTAATCTTTCAATTTTTCAACTTTTAAAATTTTTTTTTAACAAATGTACTAAAATATAGTACACAATTAACATATCAATGATTTCAAAAGTATATCATATTTAAATAAGTAATAATAGTTATGTTAGGTAGTTTAATGATTAATTTTAACATTACTGTGTTTTTAATTTATGGGTAATATACTAACATTTAGAAATATCGATTATAGCCGAATAATATAACATTAGTCAAGATAACAAATGTTATCACCAGCTACCATAAATTGTGTTAACTGTTGGCCAATGTATTATCCTGATTTTTAATATTAGACAAAGACTTTTGGATAATATTTTGATAACTATTAGAATGTAACAGTCTAATATAATAAAAAAAATTTTAATTTATTGAGTAAAAGTATAAAATATAACTTAAATTAATTATTTTAAGTGTAGAATTAAAATGTAATAATTTATTATTACATGGCATGATTCCATGATATTTTCAATTGCACAAAATTCTAGTATATAATATACACTTTTATCAAATTTAAAACTTTTAATATTATCCATGTAATGTTCATATGTCATGTTTATAAATAAAGAATTACCATTTGCAAAAAATGCCTGACTAAAATTGGTTTTATTTGGACAATCTTCATATATGCACATATTAGATAAAAACTTAGCTCTGATTATTATTATTATTGTATCAAAATTACATTATGCTGTAATAAATAAAATAAAATAAAAACATTAACATTACTCATAACTTAAATATGGATCTATTATCTTACATTCATTATGTAATATAACATATTAATTTTTGATAACACTACAAAATTTATAATAATAATCCTTTTGTCCACTTCATATACATATGCCAAAGTAATTTTTCATCACTTGCTCAATCTATTTCTACCAATTTTTTGGTAAAGTACCATATATTTTACATATTTACATCTTATTTTTATTTGAGATAGATTGTGTTTAGTATTTTTAATGAAATCAACATCAAAATCTTGTATCCACTTTTGTTAGATCCTTAACAATTAAATCCTAATTATCCCTAGTGTACCTTATTAGGAATATAAAAAGTTGAAAAAATAACGTCTCATACCAATAATAACTAGTAATAGCTAAATATATTTTGAGACACCTAAATTCAAATATTGGTTCTTATTACAATGCTGTTTGTGATCTTAAAAAAAAAAAAATAATAAACAATAACGTATAATAATAATAATAATAAAACTATAGCCAAATTATTGTATTCTATGTTAGAAATTTCTTTCAGTTAAATAATAAAAATATAAATAAATTAATTTGATTGTTTAGTTATTTAATATTTTATTAAAAGAAGTTAAATGCATTTTCTTAATGTTTAATTAGTTATTAATTATGTATTACATCATAATTAATAACCAATGTATTTACAAATTGTTTTTTGTAAATTGTGTATAATTATTACATTAATTAAATATTTTATTTTATTTTTTTTTTAGGATCCATCATATTGTTTTAAAAATAAATATCTTTTATCTTGGTGTCAATTTATTCCGGAACAAGTTAATCATTTAAAAGAGCTCGAATTTGAACCAACTTATAAAGGAAAAATATTGGCAGTGGTTCGTGCTTCAGAAGTAAGAATAATTTAGTTTCAATTTTGAGAATTAATAAATTATATGTTACTAATGTTTTATAATTTTTTTAATAAGGTTGAAATATGGCATGTTGGCGTTGCAAGCAATTTCACAGATGGTCCAGTTTTTGCTAATATGAGTTTGAATAAATCAATGGACAAGCATGTTTTAAATAATATTAATAATGCAGTGATAAAAATCGATTTGAAAGAAGCTGATATTATTAGCTTATCGTTTTCTCCAGATGGTTCAACTATATCATTAGCATTAAATAATGGATCTATTTATTTTTATCAAGTACGCAATATAACTATTAAAATATTAACTATTATCATTTAGTAAAAATATTAATTTAATTATTTTATAATATTTGAGGTATCTTTTGACCATATTGCTGATACTCCAAAGCGTGTATTTACTTGGCTTCCTAAAGAAATATTTTTGTCTTTAAAATCTTTGGCATTTTTAGACAACCGTAAGACTATTGATGGAGAGTAAGTAGTTCTTCATTCTTATTAATATATTTTTAGTATTTTCTTACCAATTTAATTAGTTCTTTTATTAATGTACTTCATATTTTTTTATGTTTTGTAGTGTGGAACTTTGGAAGTATGTAGTGACTTTATCTAATGATGACGAAATTATTTTATGGTCTTGTGAAACTTGGAAAATTCTTCAAAAAGTAAAATTTGTCCGATCTTTTTCAAAACTAAATTCCATGAAGTTAACAATTGACGGAACTGGAAGATATATATTTTTGAGTGACATTGACAATAATGTATGTTAAAAAGTATTGAACATATTGTTTCTTTTATATTTATTTTTTATTTTTTCCTTATATTTCAGTTACTTTATGTCATGGAAGTAACTGATGATATTAAGACTGCTAAAAAAAATATTAAAATAATTAGCATTACTGAAGTTTTGCTACAAAGTCCCATGTTAAACATGATAATTGGTGATGTTAAAATTGATCGTAATGATTTAGATCTTACAGAAAATCACAATTCGAGTAATTTTTTGTTTTTGCATTAATATTTATTTATTAGTAATAAAAATAATATTATTTTCAATTACAGATAATATTTTATCTAGTAAATATACAACTACAATAAATTTATTTGCAATTCAACCAAAGTCACTACAAGAAGGTCAATTAATTATTGAATCTCCAGTTTTATCTAATACGGAACATTGTAGTGAACAAATTAACATTGAATCTACAAATATATTCCCAAAACCACCAATACTAGATCTTCTCATAGAACCTGTTGATTCCACTACAACTATTAATAATTCTGAAGGTAAATATATGAATATGTTAGTGTTTGTAATTAATTTAGCAAGCTATTATATACTGATTTTAGTATACCTTCCACTAAGTTATATAATTTATATCAAGACATTTTTGATTAAATTGAGATGTAATGTTTTGATTAATTTTTAACTTAAATAAATTAAGTATTAAAATAACTTGAATAGAAATAACTCATTTTGTATTTATTTAAATTTATAAATTTTTATTTGATTTCAAATTTCAGATTATGTTTGACTTGATTTTAATAATATAAATACTATTAATTCTAGCAAATAATTTCTTGAATATTACTGTTTTAAAAAATACATTTTATTTCATGTATTTAAATATAAATCAAATAATGTAAAGTTTTTTACTTTGAAATTTAATATTTAACTATGTATTCAAAAATATTATTTTTCATCAAATCATTATATTATTACCTACTCAATTAATAGACTAATGATTATAATATGTTTGAGCAGCAACCGCAACTATTTATCATTAAGAATGTCTAATGTTAAATTAAACTTATTATAATGTTTTGTTAAACCGATGAAATAATTTATTTTTAAGTATACATTTTTTAATTTTAATAACTAAATATTACACAAAAAATTAATAATTTACAAAACAAATTAATGTGTATATTAAATTCTTCTTATTTTTATCTAATTCTAGTTTTAAATAAATTGGATTAGAGTAAAAGTAATTTGCTTAATTAAATATTGTTTTACAAAAAAAAAAAAAAATCATTCTTTAATAATAATTAAACTATTATGTTTGAATATTTTGCAACTACTATTACATATTAAGTTTAAATATCTAATATTTTTATTATTTTATTTATTAAAATCCTTAAATAATTAATTATAAATTAAAAATGTATATACATTTTCTCGATTAAATACAATTATAAAATATAAAAACAAGTTTATATTACTTATTTCTCTTATTAACCTGGGGGAGGCATATATACATCTTATAATGTAGAATCTATAATTTAAAATATTTGAAAGATTAACATAAAAAAGATTAAAAGTAAAAAGTATAAAGATACTAACAATTCTTTATTTAATTTATAAAAAAGTTAATGATAATATATTTTTTGTAATATTTGATTTTTTTATTTTATTTTACAATAAGAAATACACAATCTATACAACGTAGCACAATAAGTATATATGATATTATAATAGTAGCATGAATATTTTAAAACAAGAAATCACCCATTGGTGACACTTGACTGGGAAATATTTGATTAAAAAAAAAACTATCTTAATGATTTTTATACATTAATATAAATCAATAATATAAGTAATAAATTTAATTAAATAACACAAAGTTTACTCATTTTAATAATTTTAAACTAAGTTTATATTGATTTACTTGGCATTATTAACTAGTCATTGTTATGTTAATTAAATTGTATAAGTAGAACATTGTTTACTTACTATTAGGCGGCTAAAATTTAGTTCATATAGTTTTGTTGTTTTTTTTTCTGTTTTTTTATTACTTATTCTTATTATTATTTAAATATTATGATACTGGAATTGTTAACTAGTAACAATATTTTTTTTGTCTAAATTTCTAACTTTATGTTATCATTACAATTGGTTAATTTGAATACCAGCCATACATATTAAAATTATTAAATGTATATTTATTAATTTTAAATAAATTTAAACAAAATATAGTTTTAATTATTTATAATAATATTTAATACACACACATACAATATATACATATATATATATTATTTTATATTCATTTAAGGATTTCCATTTAAATCGTATAAAAGTTAAATAGATGGAAATATATAATTTACAATATACATTAAGAGTTAATTTAATTTGTATATTATTAACCTGGGTCTATTGGTTTGTATTCAATGCAATATTTTCTAGGACCTTATAAAGTATAATTATTTATTTATGTTTTAATTAAAATTATATTTCTAATGTTTTTCAGTTCAAGAATTTCAAATTCGCAAAGAAGAGAACATTCTGCAAGATCTTACTCCATTAGAAGTTCACAGTTTAGTAAAAGAAAAATTGAGATTAAAAGGAATAAGTCTTAATCCAAAAAGTGCTTCTAATTCTTCCAATTCAATACAGGTATATTATCTTTCATTTTTTTTTTGTTTACATTATATTTTGTGATTTAAAAAAAAATTGAATATTATAGATTCAAAATAGGCAAAAGAATAATTATAACAATATACAACCAATTGTAGTTCAACCATCAAGTACTTATTCCTATCCACAAGTATACAACAAATTAATTATTATGAATAAGTAGATAGTTGTATGAATTAAAGTAAATATTTGCATTTATATTTTATTTATTTATTTATTATTGCGGATAAAAGGTTTGAATCAATCAAATGTTAAGTTTTGAATTTATTTAGTTAGAAAATTATAAATACATATGGTATCTATATATTTTTTTAGGATTTTGATTTGAATGAAGCAAGAGAATGTAGTCCAAGTAACAATGAAGTTCAAACCATTTTACAACAACAAACTGATCAAGAATCACAGTAAATACTTCTTATTTTAATTTTTTATCATAAATTGTATTTTATTTGAATATTTGAATCATAGATACAATTATATGGAAACACATAATGATAACTTTGAAACTGTGAGTAATTATTCTAATGGAATTGATGAAAAAGAAGAAAATAATTGTTATTCAAGCAATTCTGTGTTCAATGGTTCAGAAATCTCAACAATAAGACGACCTTTGGATAAGTCTAATGCGATAGATAATAGTATTGGTATTCAAATGGATGATATATTAACTACTTTACAAAACATGAACACTCAGTTAAAATGTATATCAAAAAAACAAAAAAAAATTGATAATCAAATTAATGCTGCTATATCAATGAATTCATCTAGTTTATGTGAAAATCTAGAACCAGTTTTGATGAGTAAATTAATATTTAAGTTAGTTACATGAGATAATTTAATTTATAGAGTATGTTACATTTTTTTATTAAAGATATGGTAAAGAATGCAAGTGATCAATCACACCGGAAACTTCAAATTATGATAGATCATCAGTTAAATTCCTCTCATAAGAAAATAACAGAAATTGTCAAAGCAACCAACTCCAATAAAGTATTAAAATTTTAATCAAATAATAGACTAATATTTTTTTATACATTTATAATCAATCACCTTTACAATTTATGCATGTTTTTAAATTATTTATGTATATTAGTCATATAATCATAATCTATTTAGCTTTAAATTCTTTAAATTATTATACTACAAACAAAATATTTTATACCAAATCAACATTTTATTAACTGAGTATTTTTTTTTTAATAAATCACATTAATACATAACTTAATTAAAATTGTAATACTTTCTTTGAGCTACTTATTAATATTTAATTATATTAATATTTTTAGGTAGATACTGAATTATTTACAAGATCTTTGGTTGCTTCGTTGAATCCAACTCTTGATGCAATTCTTAAAGATCTTTTTATGAGCACGGTTATACCTAAGTTTGAACACGCTTGTTGTTCCATGTTTAAGCAAATTGATGCATCTTTTACTGAAAGATCACTGGAATGTAAGTGTTTAAGTAAAATAGAATGAACTTTTTTTTAAATTTATGACTTCTTTTATTTAGATCAAAATGAATTGAAGTCTTTACTCAACGAAGATGGTAATATCAATAATAAATTAGAATATGCTTTTGATAAATTTAAGGTTGACATGCATAACATTATTAAAAGTACAGAAAAAAAAATATTAAGGTACCATTTGTGTAACTAATTGAATTCAATATAATGATAATTAATTATTTACTAATAGTATAAATTTATTAATTAGCACCCAACAAGACATGCAGAAACAATTTTCAATTCTACTTAAAGAGAAGTCACATGTAGAACCATGTGTGAAAGATATGGATAATACTGCTAACCAATTTATAATTTTAAGTGATATTATAAAGCTTGGTGATTATGCCCTGGCTTTTGAAAAAGTAACAGAATTTATATTTTTTAATTTGTTTTATTACATATAAACTATTATAGATTTTGTTTTAAATGTATGCATTAATTATCCCTTAATTTATTTTTAATTTTGAGGATATTTGATCAGCTATCGTACACTGTAATAATTCAATTCAATTATATTTTTACTAATGTTTGTATTAATTGATCATTATTATGTATATTAAATAAGTTAATGATCAAACACTCATTACTGTCCCATATTGTGAGTTACCATGGTCTTGAATAAAATTATAACATATGTTTAATTCTCATTAAAATACTTTAAAAATTATTTTGAACTTAAATAATTTTCAAAATTTGATTTTACAATTTTGTTTATTATGAATTTTAATAATCATAATAATAGTAGTAATAAATTTTTTAATAAAAAAATCGTTTTATAGTAAACATTAAGACTGAATTTATCAATATATAAAATGGGTTGGTTAATATAATATTTTGTTAAAAGATAAATATTATTAGACAGTAGCAAAGCTATCTAATTGCCTTCTTTATGCAAATATTTTATATGAAATATCCCTACCTTCTTTAATATCAATTATTTTAGAGTTTTATAATTAACAAACGTCCTCTGCCCCCTCAAAAAAATTCAGTGTTTGCTGCTGCTTTTATATTAAAAATAAAAAGGATTAATAATAGTTTTTATTTTGTAATTGTGAGTAGTTGATTTATACCAATGCAACTGTAATTTTAAAACGGAATATTTAATACCTAAATTATTTTTATGCCATATCTAGTTAGGTTTCATGTTTTTCAATTATCATACATTTTTTATTTTAGTTATGGCTATTAAAATAATTGAAAACAAAAATTATGTAACTTAATATACATTATAGTGCTAAATAAAAATATACTTATTGAATTTTTATTAACATTAGATTTCTTTTATTTAGGCATTGTCTGCATCAAAATTAGAACTGGTACTTTTTGTTTGTGAAAAAGTAAAACCAGAATTACTTTTCATTTCACCAAACACTTTAAAAACTCCAATTGTATTATCGTTAATTCAACAGTTATCTCATGATCTAATCAATAATACTGAACTGAAACACAAGTAATTATTTTATATTGTAATTAGTAACTTACATAATTGAAATTATTCCTTCTTCTATTGAATTTATTATTTTTAAAGGTATTTGGAAGCTGCAATCGGAAGTTTAGATTACACTAATGATCACTACAAAGAAAATATAAACTTAGTTTTAATTAAAACTGATACTAGTGTTGAGAAGTTTGTTCAACATTATCCATTAAATCCTTACAGTCGCAAGTTAAAAATGTTACAGTTGGCCATAAAGTCAATGATAAGCTACTTTACAGTAAATATTTGAGTAAATACTACATTTTATAATATTTTTTAAAAGAGACTTAAGAAATATAATGGACTGACATAACATCCATATTATTCATTTATAAACCATTTTTTTTTTTTATTATTATTATTATTATTTTTTTTTTGTTTTTATTGCTATTTTAATACAAATAACTAACATGTTTTACATTTTGTTTAAGAAAACATATTTTTTTTCATGTATTCATATAGTTCTAAGATTTAAATTCCTGCAATAACATATTTTATGTATTTTATTATTTTTTTTATAAACATTTCATACGTTACAATAAAAACCATAATGTAATTAATTATTAATAATCAGTCATTATCATTTACCAGTGATATTTATTAGAATTATTCATATCTTGTGTTATCCATATTTAGATAAAATACAATAGAATAGTCTCATTAAAGTGAATGAATTGTTTTTGGGTGGTATAATTGTTGAAATTGTACAATTTATTTAAAAATAAGAAATTTTCAAAATCAAGTTGTATTTAATTTTATAAAAATATTTATTATTTATAAATTATTTTTATACATTAATGCTTACATTTATTGCATTTTAAAATTTCATGTTTACGTTCAAGATTTTTTTTCCTAGTTTTTTAAAATTTATTTCTTTTATTTCTATTGATTGAAAGGTAACTATTATATTGATACAACAGAAATTATAAAAAAAAAGCAATGTATGGTTGTTATTGTAAAGAATCAATAAATTGTGATGCCTTACTATTCTTGCTGTTATTGGTAATATTGCACCTAGAATAGTATACACTTCAACACGTTCACCGACCGAAAATCACTTATAATATTCAGTGCTTCGTACATTTTTTTCAAGTAATTGTTCACTACTGTTAAAGCAGTAACATTATAAAATAATTATAATCAAAACCAATATAAAAATTTCAAAATGTAAAAAGAAAAATTAGGTATTGTATAATTTCATCTTGATTCATGGTACAAAATTATTTAAAACATACTATCAATAAATATTTTTTTTCTTATTGATTTTTATTATGTCATTCTTTGAAACATTTCCCATGACAAAGTGGTTTTCGGCAGACTTTACATTGAAACGACGTTTATTTTCGTATTTTAGTTTTGTACATTGAATACAATTTTTAAAGTATGTGTTTCATTTATAATTATTTGGTAAAGCAATTTTTTCTGTATAATGATTATTTTCAGATGCTTCATTTTTCTTTTTTTTTTAATTTTAAATAGTTCTATTGCTATAGTAGGCATTGAAAGTCCTATTAAATTTTGTATTAGTTGATCACAGAATTGCTTAAAGCTTTAATTTTTGCTAAATTTTTTTTGTAAATAAAATATGAATTCCACGTAATAATGTCTAATAAATAGAACAATAATTTATTATATCATCTAACCGATTTTCTTGGAGACGAATAATAGCTGACCATTTGATCTATGTGGTCAATACCACTCGTACAGTTACTATAGTCTTCTATTTCTGCTGGTTTATTTTTGAGTATGCCGTAATTGTTCTGTGAAGTTATTATTTTCAGTAGTCATGTATAAAACGTCACGTTTGTCCTTCTATTTGGAAACTTGTAAACATTTTCATTGCGTCTTCAAATATAATCATCACGTTTTAATTTTTTGGCTGTAACTTCTTTTGGGTTTCCTTTGCGATTAGACCTCTGATACCAGTTGTGAGGGTTTTTTTTCTTATAGAGTATTTGATTCAGTCACACTATTATAAAAATTGCCCATGTATAGGTTGTGCCCTTTGTTCAAATATGTTTTCATAAGTATTAAGACGATATTGTCAATTTTTGATACTCTCGCATCAACTGTTGACGATGTTTTTTTTTGCCTTTTACATATTAATATTTAAAACGTAACCATTATTAGTACATAGTTCATAAAATGTTATACCATATTTTACCTTTTTTTCTTTTATATATTTTATATATATACTTCTTTAACTTGTTAATATCTTTACTGCTACATAAAAGTAACCTGTTGATTACGATAATAAATTGAATGACTCCTATTACATGGTTTTATAAAGTGACAATATTATATCATTACTGCTATGATAAATACTTTTCACTAATACATAATGATACATTTGAAATTAGGTAAGTTTATATTCTTATCTTTATGTTGATGAGATCTCTGAAAAATTAAAATTTTCGAGATATGAAAGATTGTATTTATAATTATCATATGAATGAACTCATAGACTGACATTTGAGACTTATTTATCAATAATTCCATTCTTTTTTGAATTTAAGTAATTGGATATATTTGGTTTATTGTTTTCAGAAATATGGTCAAAAGTTAAAATATATAATCTTATTTACTAACCTTTTAAAAAGAATTTTATTTTTAAATACAGCCCAATTCAAATAATCTAAACAGAAACTAAACATTTTGAGGAAGCATTTGGATTAGAAGTATTAGGTATATTTAAAATTAACTTAAATTATTTTATTATTTTTTTTTTTTTTTTAGTGGTACTTTGTACGAATATTCTCAGGAACTAAATTATCAGTGTCTGTATAGGAAACAAAGACGTTATCTACTCACTTAGAATACAGATAAATAATCTTTAAATAATGAATTTAATAAAATATTTATAAGCTTGAATGTCATTTATATCATTAAATGACATTATGTATGTTTTAGTGTTATTCAAAAATTTTTTTTTACACTTGTACCATTATAGTTGATAGTATTAGAATAGGCCATTTACGAGCCGCGTACTTAAGCGGTCGGTATGTGGCGTAGCGGACCATTCCAGTTAACACAATAAAGTATAAAAATTCATTTGAAACGACGTCTTAATTTTTTGGACACAGTGGCTTGAACAATTTGAAAGTTAATGGGAATTATTGTATCGTTGGAGTTGTGTCTTCGTTGGCCGCAAATTTGTTATCGTACTATCGTGATTACTGGTTTGTTTTATTATTAAATTATTTATATTTTTATACTACATGATTTGTCATAGGCGACTCACGATCTAATTGATGAAATTTTAAATTATACACAACTAATAAAAAAAAAAAAAAAAAAATGTACGGAATAAAAGAAAAAAAACTGGCAATATTTACTACTGATGGAAAATCAGTTTAAAAATTCCAATTCGTTTGGTATTCCTAGTATAATTGGCTTCTTAGCATTCAAGCAAGAAAAAACTGGGATTAAGAAGGTAATTACAAATTTTGAAAGTAAAATAAAAAAAAAAACATGTTATTTCTGGAAAGCATATTGTTAATCAGGAACCATTTAAGTTAATCGGTGAAAATCGAATTTATCATGCCTTATCAGAAGTACGAAGCCATAAAACATAGAGAACAATTTAGCATTAACCGCCGTCGCATATTATCTCGATTGATATTGTATTTTATTTAAGAAAAACAAGATTTGGCTTTCCGGATTATGAGCGTAAAGCTCATCGAGTGAGGGTAATTATTAAGAGCTATTAGAACTACTATCGCAAGAAGAACAAATTTTCAAAGAACGTTTTTTATCACTCTTTTTTTTTTTTTAATGGAGCGTCTAATGATTTGCAAAATGATTTGTTACCTACATCAAATATACCGTAATATAAAAAATATATTCCACTATATTAAAAAAAGAGGAGTAAAGTACAATTATAGTATATTAAATTATGCTAATTATGGGTAGGTCTGGTATATCCTGAACTGATTAATATATGCCAATCTTCTAATTTATAAGTAATAACTTATACTCTCGTATATAAGACGTATTATATATAGGAATAAAGCGACGCGTTAGATACAAGCAAATACGCAGTAGATTTAAGAGAACGTCGTACCCACAGTGCTGCCTGTGTTTTACCAAAGTAAATAGTAGCAGCAAATTTGAGTTCAGAAAAATCCATTTTATGCAGTTTTTTTCGATAGTAGAGTTAATTTTATTATTTTTCAACTTACTCGTAAAATTAAGAATATTATCTAGCACTTAAGCTTTTATTGATATTTTAATTTTAAGCTGAGTTAATAGCTATGTAAAATATTCATAACTCACATTACAATTAAAATATCAACAAAAATTTGCGTGATGTCTTAGATAATATTCTTACCTTTAAGTTTGATAATAAGTCAATTGACTCTAACATTAAAGCTTACAGCAAAAGGGATTTTGCTGAATAAAGATTTGCTGTTTTGTACATTAGTAAGCCATAGACAACACATGCGGATACGACGTCCTCTTTACCAGACAGCTGTAGATACGCGTGAACCGTGGGAACACGATGCTGGGCATCGCTTAACTATTAACTAGATAGAAATGATATATAAGAGAAGTGTGGAAAAGTCCTGCAAGAAAGCCCGGTATAAGACTTTCAGATTTGATTTACAAGAGTTAAAGCGAGCACCTTTACGTTAGACTTAAAAATATTTAGAAATATTTTAAGTAAAAAAAAAATCATTTAGAAGAATTTCATGATTTGTTTATTTCACTGCAAACTACTATGCAGTTTCACACACAGTGGCTTCTAAGTTATATTTGGCTCGCTACAAATTAAATTATTTGTATACTGAGGTTGTAAGTATTTAAATAATGCAAGAATTATTTCTATTCAAGCCGATGAAACGATGAACATACCGTGAAAGTCACATATTAGTATTAAATTAAGTATTAGTGTTAACATTTAGTATTAAATTAAGATTACGTTATTGTCGTTATTGATATATTGCATAAGATTACACCATAGTCTTGTATCAAATTATTATCATAAATGTAAAATACGCGATCGTTTATTTCTGTAACAGGGTCATAAGGTCACTTAGCCCTTTCGGACCCCAAATCACTTTAGTGACTCAATATTTAATTCTCCAATTATAGATAAATGTGTAGTATACAGCGAACGTTCTATATACGTATTACGTATCGATGTATAAAATTCCGTAGAATACGGTCAAGTTATTACTATCCTCTTGGTGACATGTACATTGTATTTTGGTATATTTAAAAAAGAAAATAGCATGGAAATAATTTTTAAATTTTCTTATAATTTTTGATTTATAAATACTAATAATAATAGCAGCGAGTTGTATAATT